TGCAAACTCCACACAGACAGTCGCCTGAGGGTGGAATTGAACCCGGGTCCTTGGCGCTGTGAGGCAGCAGTGCTAACCACTTAGACACCGTGCCGCCCCTAAACACCGTACTGCCTGGAATTATGGTGGAGGCAGGTTCAGTTGAGACATTGGTATTATCACTAGACTGTTAATCCAGAGACCCACAATGTTCTGGGGATCTGGTTTCGAATCCCACCACAGCAGATGGTGGAATTTGAATACAATGAAAATCTGGAATTATTCATCTAATGATGACCTTGAATCCATTGTCAATTATTGGAAAAACCCATGTGGTTCACTAACGTCCGTTAGGGAAGGAAATTGCTGTCCTTACCTGGTCTGACTCCAGACCCACAGCAATGTGATTGACTCTTAACTGCCCTCTGTGCAGTTAGGGATGGATAATAAATGCTGGCCTAGCCAACAGTGCCCTCATCCCAAGAATGAAAAAAAGATTGGCTCAAGCTATCAGAATTAGTGCAGACACGACAGGCCAAGTGGCCTCTTTCTGCACTGACAATTCTATGATTTATATTCTTCCACATTAAACTCCATCTGCCAGAATTTTTACCCACTCACCTGTGTCAGTCTACAATCTCTTTTTGTCCTCTTCACAAAGCACTTCTCTATCTACCTTACTGCAAATTTATTTGCTATGCTTTCACTCCCTGATCTCAAATCATTGATATAAATTGTAAAAAAAAAACCTATTTATGCAAACTCAGTTTTCTGCCAGCCAACCAGTCATCTGTCTATGTTATTATGTCACCCCCACACCATGTGCTTCTATTTTCCCCAATAATCTTTCATCTGGCACATTGTCAAAAGTCTCCTGGAAATCCAAGTATAGTGTGTCAACGGGCTTCTCCTTATAATGAATGTTATTCCTTTGAAGAACTCCAATAAAATTTGTTGAAACTGATTTCCTTTTCACAAAACCATGCTGATTCTTCCTGACTACCTTGAGTTTTTCCTAAGTGTCCAGCTATAATCTTCTTAAGGATTGATTTTAACAAATCCCTCATGTCAGACATCAAGCTAACAGACTTATAGTTTCCTGTTTTTGGTCTCCTTCCTTCTAAAATCGATGAGTGTCAATTCCTGTCACTGTAGTGTGCCTTACTACTATGATAGTCCTTTGTTGTCCCCCTGCTGGAATGGTTTCCTGTACCACAGTGCCATGGTCAGTTGGCTCAACTCTCACTCTCTGAAAGAAGCTGAAAGAATCTCAAACCTGTTAGACAATTGCAAAGGCTGAGATTCCTGCCCTCTGGGTCCCTTAACGTGCTTCACTCTGGGTCACACCCTCCTGCCCCTGGCCAAATCACATGGCACTATCCCCCGGAATAAAACGTCTAGATAATTTTCACCGTCCTTGATGTGCAACAGAACCTGTAGATCAGCGCTCAGCTCACTGACTGTGAGCTAAATTTCATGCAGCTATGGACACTTATTGCAGACATATTTGCCTTGGATTGCACAGGCATCCAGATAATCCAATATCCTGCAGTCGCAGTACATCACCTGCCTTCCATCTTTATCGTATGTTTAGTTAATTAATAATTTTAATCTAGAAATCATACTGCTGAGCCTCCCAGTGGGTTAAACTTTACCAATACTGATCGAAGGAGTTTAAAGTTATGAATAATTGTAGGCAGTTAAGGACATTAAAAACAGTGACCCTTTTCAATATTAGTGATATGCACGGAATTCCTAGTAGCAGTTATTCACAAATTAATCAACCCACACCTTCCTGTGATATCACTGTATGGTTATTTTCTCAATTGGGTGTTCTCCAGAAGCTGCAGCTGTTAAACTGAAGCCTCCGAGCTGGGTCTCAATTTATTTGTTGCCTTGTCAGCAGAAAGCAGGGCAGAATTGGGTAAGCCATGTGGCAGACAATGCAGAAAGCTCATCTCACAGCCAAACAAGATGCTGTGGCTGCGAACAGTGTGATACAGCCTCCTGTGTTTGCCAGGGAGAGGGATGCGATTGGTGACTAGGAGTGGCACTTCCAGTGGGAACGGCTTTGATCTTCCCAATATTTACCCAGAGGAAATTTCTGTGCGTCGAGTACTGTATATCAATCTGAGAATTTAAACAGAGTGGACGGGTTGAGAGAAATGATGGAGAGTTCGAGTAGGGGATCATCCATATTTGTGTGAAATTTAATGTCTATTCTTTCACACAATATTGCTGTCGAACAACATGTAGATGAGCATTGGAGAGGGAAGAAGGACAGATCTTTGTGGTGGGAGTGTGATGAGAAGTAAGTGTAACTCTGACTATGATTAGATAGATAAGAATTGAACCCCTTAGCATTCTTGAAATACTCTGCCCCAGGCTGGTCAATCAGTTTTCAGCTATCTGGACACTAAAGCTCTGGAATCCCTTTTTTTAAACCTCTCTTTCTCTTATGGTCCTGCTACGTCTGTGTTTTTGTTCATACATTTTAATTTCTGCTTCTTTAGCTTGATAGTGCCACAGTGATGTGGCTTTGGATGCCCTGCTATGTTAAAGGTGCTAAATGGAAACAAATTTTGATACAGGGAAAGTCTGGAGTGAAAACCACATACTTCTCAGTTACAGTCACCAGCTCCCTTAATGAGAACAAAATTCACAAACAAAGGAAACCCATTTAAGCAGTGAGTCTCACTGTATCTATTATGAAAAGTTAACTCACCTCCACCCCGTCCTCTCCAGTGTAGCCACAACGAGTTACCCTGCAGCCTGGCACCCCAAATACAGTCATCATGGCACTCCACATGAATGGCAGTTTCTGAAGGTCATCAGACACACCCTCCTGCAGCACCCTTGCTGCAGATGGACCTGGGCAATATAAACAACAGCTCCACATTATCTAGAAGGTTCCAGCACCCTAATGCAAGGAAGTTAAATGACTGCAGTTTTATCGTACCAAAGCAAGATCACCAAGGACGGAAAAGGATGGGGTGGACACTAGGACTCCTGATGCACCTTCGTGCTCGTTTGTTGCCGGGTGTGGGGATTCCCATTTAGAGGGAATTTGTTTAGCTGTGGTTCAGTTGTTAGTTAACTCACCTCTGACTCAGTAGACAGAATGCTCAAGACCCACTCCAGAGACCTGAGCAGGTTGACATTCCCAGTGCACCCTGAGGAAATGCTGCACTGTGAGACATTGCTGTCTCTCTAATCTTTTAAGGTGTAAAAGATCTCATGGCGCTATTTCAAAGAGCAGCATATTTCTCCCTCGTCTGTGTGTGTGTCTGTACATGTGCTCATGTGCCTGATCGCATGTCCCCCCAGCTGGTGCCTGGATCTTTGAGGATCTCCTCTGGGTACAAAGCTGTCACCACCTCTCTCCTAGTACCAGTCTATTGCTTACTAATACACATCGGTGAATGGTGATTACACGGAAGTTGTGGGAGAAGAGGAATGTTTTTGAGAAACAAGAAAAGTTTATTAGAGAATCCGAGCGCCAGGAAACAGGATCCAGCAAATGGGGGCCTCTGGAGCAGGAGGCAAAGGACACAGATCCACACAACTGGGAGGGAGAGGATGTGGGTGCCTGAGCTAGAGAGAGTCGAGGAGGAGAGTATGGGTAAAGGTGAGAGTGGGGGGAGTCAGGTAAATGCTTGAGGATGGGGGAGATTTAAGCTAAAGAGCAACTGCAGCATTTGGGCCCAGGTGCTCCTCACTTCACACGCCCCGGGGAGTGGGGGTCACCCCATGAGTGTGATCGGCTGTGCCCACACACAGGGATGCACGTGCTTGTGCAAGTGTGAACACGTACGCATTCATGCGAGAATGATATCTTAAAACGTAAACATTAAATCTGTGGATCAGGCAGCACCAAAGAGACAGAAATCCTGATATGGAACTCTGACAATTTAGGATTATTCCATGGTGATAGAATGAAGTGGTCACCTTGCAGCGCTATCAATCCCGCCTCCAAAAACTCCAGGTCAGCATCATTCCCAGCGGCTTTGAACTCGGCCAGCTTCTCCTAGGAACAGAAGGAAGGCAATTAGCAGAGGCCCGAACGCCAGAGCAGGAGGAGGGCTCCTCACTAACTATAAAGGCACTCATGTGGCAAACCCACAGCATACTGCCCCATAACCCTCCTTGACTCTCTCTCTCTCTGTCTCTTGCTCAGGAACCCACACCCTCTACCTCCCACTTCTGGAGCCCTGCGCCCTCTCCCTCCCAGTTGTGTGGACCTGCGTCCTTTGCCTCCAGCTCCAGAGGCCCCGTTCACTGGATTCTGTTTCCTGGCGTTCAGATCGCTCCCAGCATGCGCGCACCAGTGTCAAACCAGTTACTGACTTGCTCAACCCTGGGCCCAAAGCGCAGTTTCCAAAAGCTCCCTTCTCCTAAATTAGCTCAAAGTCTTTTCTCACCCCCACCAAGGGGATGAATGGGTTGATGAATGGAATGCCAGGTTAGGCATACCTCAAGGACATTTCGACTTAGGAAAACCAATGATTGGGTGTCAAGTCAGGGCAAAACGGAAGAGCATGAGTCTGCAGACTGTGAAAGTTCCACACTCCATTCCCAATCAACCCCAACATATTTCCTTGCTGAATGCCAATGCAGTAATTTGTCAAACACCCACACAGTCCTCAAAAATCAGGTTTAACTTCAGTACAGCTGGAGCAAAACAATGGATTTCTTCCTTAACATCCTATTAAAAATAGCAGTCCCACTCAAAAATACAACAAAATGATCCCACTTTCTGTTTTGTCATCAATAGCGAAATTAACACGTACTGCCTAAAGCAGGACAAGTCAGGGGTTTGTAAAGCCACGACTGAATCCAGAACCTTCTGTGCAACTGTAGTTCAGCAGTGAACTCGGTACCAAGATCCCACAATGATAGCTCAGCCGCCTCATGTTTGTGAGCTTGTGTCTTTGTGATGCCTACAGCAAAGCCAACATACCTTCATGTGGGCAGAGTCCTTGTCAGCACAGCCCGCATTCGATACGATATACAGATATCCATCTGAAGTCCGAGTCACTATCAGATCATCCTTTATCCCTCCTGTTTCATTGGTGAAGAGCGACAGTGTACCCTGAACACAAAGAAGTGAAAGGTTAGGACTGAAGGACACAAACAGCTGGGCCCAATAAATATAGCCAGTCAGGAGGAACAGACTAGAGCAATCAACGAGTAGGAATGTGTGCACTATTATCAAATCAGTTACTGACTAGAACCCCCAGGCTCTAGGAGCGGTTTCCAAAAGCTTCCTTTTCCTAAATTAGAGGAAGTTTTTCTCTGGATACTGAATGGGGTGATAGACAGAATGGGATTTACTGACCTGGAGTTTTTGGTGGTGGTATTGGTAGCATGGCAAGGTACCAGTTCACTCTATTACCATGGAATAATCCTGGAAGTACACTGTGACTCAGGAAAATCATTGGGAAAAGATCATTCTAGACTTCCTACAGAAAATGTCCTAGAAATGCTCTACCTGTTGGTGTGCAATTCACTGGAGTTGGATTGCAGCCAGTCAACCTAGGCAGTATCACCAGACTATATGACTGTGGGGGAATCGCAGTACAGCTCACACTGAGGTCTCTCAATGTTCACTTTCCCTGGTTGATATTGCACCTCACTCCGCTAACTACCACTAAGGCCAAACATGGCATCACCCTATCTCGATGCCTGCCTTTGATATGACTGTGATGAGAGGTATGAACTGGTAATCAAGTCAGTGCACCAGTCATGTATCGATTCACTCGCCAAAATGGCCATTTGCTTGTCTTTTGTACTTCCATCCAGACTAAGAGAAACTTTCATCAGGCATCTTGAGTGAACTCAAATAATCTGTTTATTATACCACAAAATGAATTCTTTAAACAAGCGGCAAACACCGCAACATCAGAACGATAATTCAAAATTCGGACTGTATCTCCTCAATCCCAAAACAGACACACTCACACAACACAAAAAGACAACAGTCTCTGCAGAGATTTTTTTTGTTTTTGTAAAAAAGAAAACAACCTTGCTGTCCAAAAGTCTGGAAACAAAATGACTTCTCACGGTCCACCAGGTTTCTTTCGATGAAATCAAATTGCTGACAACCGTAGACTGATGGAAGATCTTCAGTTCGACTGGAATCAAACTGGATATGAGTCTTTGCAAAGTGGTCACAATTTAAAGGTTGATAAGGTGGTCAGAAATGATGATATTTTGGAAATTTTATTGGGTTTCCAACAGCTTCCACTGAAAGAAGGAGTGAGAGAGACTTCACCTTTTTCTTCTTATAACAACTCAGGTCTACTTAGTGAAAACAAAAAAACTAAGACCAGAAAGGCAAAGCATACGAGGCAACCAGCAAACAGGCCTCCATATTTATATCAAAGCTAGGTTTTCTAGCAAATATGGACCATAAATTCCATCTCTTCTCCTGCTAAAGGCTTTGCTCATCTTTCCTCAGTCATTAAACTTTCTTAAAGCAGCAGGTAAACTACAGCACGCATTAAACCATTGACTTAATTTCCAAGAAACCTTTTCAATCAAACAGTTCTGAATTTTCTCTTTTTTTAAACAGCCTGTAAATTTAAAAAACGTATTCACAACACCATGAGCTAGCCAACTTAGGTCTATGAAAACAGACAACTGGGGAGATGATAACATAACGTAATGTCACTGATCTAGTAGGTCAGAGGTCCAGTCTAATGCTCTTGGGGTATGGATTCACCATGGTACCTTGTGGAATTTAAATTCAATTAATGAATAAATATGAATTAGCCTCAGTCTATAATTGTCGTAAAAACCCATTTTATCATTAAGAGGAGGAAATTTGCCATCATTATCTGTTATGACAGACTAGTGACTACAGATACACAGCACTGTGCTGATACTTCACTGCCTTCTGAAATGGCAGAGTCAGCCATTCATCAAACGACTACAGAAAAGTCAAACCAGATAACTGCAGTGCTTCAAGCATGTGTCTCACCACCAACTTCTTCAGGACAATTATGGAGAGAGAAATGCTGGGCTCACTTACAACAGCTAAAAACTGGGCAAAATGAAAGGAATCAAAGTTCCCATCAACACTGAGTAATTTTAGAGTGCCTGAACATTGAAATAGTCCCTGGTCATACATTGTTTCAAGACTTCATTTACTTTTCAGTGAATTATGGACATAGACACCAGAACATTGGAGATACTCGAGTAAAGGACGACTTTTTTTCAACATAGTTACAAGGCAAAGACTGTTAGAATAACATTAATTACATTACATTAAACCTAACCCTATCACATTCCCAACATTTCCCCCCTCTGTTCCGGTTATTGGATTTGCTTTGTTGGTACTAACCATCCATTTCAGGATCTCACACATTCAACTTTGATTGTAGGAAATTGTAGGCTATTTGGCAAAAGGTAGCATCACAGCTAACCCACTAAACTTTGTAGCAGTAATCGGGAGCACAAAACCAGAGAACAGTGATTCTCCATTCTAACTCATGAAGCTGATCTGAACCATAAAACCCAAATACAAACAGCAAAGATCAGGAGACCAACACAAAGTCTTCTGGTCTGTATGGCTTAAGGAAATGTCAGGCACTTTACTAGAAGTGGTCAGCCATGGTTCAGATGGTACAGCTTTTCCTTCAGATTCAGAAGGCTGTGGATTCAAGTCCCACTCGAGAGGTTTAAGGGCAAACTGTGGGCCAATGTTCCAATGCAGTATTGAGCGAGGGCTGCATGGTTGGAGGTGCTATCTTTCAAATTATTTTGACCCATTGTTCTGTCCCCTCTCTCAGTGGATGCATTTGATCTACAGCATTATTCGAAGAACAACAGGAGAGCACCTCTCCAATGTACTGGGCAATGTTTACCCAGCAACTAATATCACTGAAACAAATGATTCAATAATTGATCTCTGTGCTGATTGTGGGATCATGCCATGTGCAAACTGACTAGTGCATCTGCTTACAAGTACTCCCTTAGCTGCATGACCTGGGGACGGGCAGGGCACTGCTTAGATACAAGTTCTTTCCTTTTCCCACTACAGTAGTCTGAAACAGAGTGGCAGACCATAAGAATTAAAGTGTGTGGTTTTTGATGAGAGAATTTGATCTTCACCTGGTTGTCCTTCAGCTCAGCAATGTCTCCAACGACCAAACTTTCCATGAATTTCACTCGATCCTTCCCCATCACCTTGCTCTGAAACAAAGCAGACACTCCGTGTAGTCACTGGTAACTCCTAATTATTCCAGAGGTGAAATAAAAATGACGTTCTCCCAGCCACGTTAGTTTGTAGATGAAAAAGTGGAGAACCACCTGCACATTCTGTTCAGTGTCTAGGGTCAAGGAACAAACTGAGTTTTTAAAAGTTCACAACATGTGACATGCTTTGGTGTGGACATTTGTTTTAATTATGTACACAATGACGCAGGTTTGACCCAAGCAAAAGTCCAGACGATTTATCCACCCTCAGATTTCTACTGTTTCTGCTGCCCACCAAACAAGCATTCTACCCTGGTGCTAAACATTCTGTTCCACGAGTGTTTTATCAACTTAAATCTATCTGTACAACTCTACTCTTAGTACTTGATTCACTATCTCTTTAATCTCACTGAATTTTGACCTCATGATCATTCCCGATTTAAACTATTCCTTAATCTCTCTGTTTCTCTTTCGATCTCCATAAAACTTGCCATTTTGACCAAGATTTTTGGCCGTTTCTCTCAATATCTCCTGATGTTGTTCAGTGCTATATTTGCTTTATAAAGATCACCTGAAAGACCTATTATGCTAAAGGTGCTGTAAAATCAAATAAATGTTTTGCATCAGTAACAAAAACAGAAGTTGCTGGAAAAGCTCAGCAGGTCTGGCAGTATCTGTGAAGAAAACATTCAGAGTTAACGTTTCGGGTCTGGTGACCCTTCCTCAGAACTGATGGGTCACTGGTCCCGAAATGTTAACTCTGCTTTCCATTAACTTCTGTTTTTGTTCCTGCTTTACAGTCCTTTCGGTTTTTAATTGTTTTGCATCACCTCAGTATAAGCTTACCTCTCTAAATTCCTATTCAATTTTCTGATATCTCAGTCCAAACTTGCCTCGATAATTCCAACCCAATTGCTCTGTCCTCAAATGCTCATGTCAAGCTTTGTTTCATAAAAATGCTCCGAGCAGCCTTGGCACATTTGACTACTTTAAAAGCTGCCAGGTAAATATAAGTCGCTGGGACTGTGGTCCATAATTACTACTCCAGAGGGAAAAATGCTCAACTCCTGTGCCTCACTCGAGTTTATTTCACAGAAGTCTGTTAGTCATGTCTGTGTTGGCCCTGTGAAGGGCCTCCGGCTATGTCCTTGCCTTCTCCCCATAACCCTGTTTTCATCCTTTTCAGGTCATAATCTAACTCTGTCATGAAAGCCTCAATTGAACCTGCCTCCGCCAGATTCTCAGACAATTCATAACAGATCCTAGTCACTTGCTGCATGAAAGTGTTTATCATCATGCTGCCATTGCCTCTTTTTGCCAATCCCTTAAGTCTGACCCTTAGATCTTTCTGGGAGCAATCAGATCCTCCACATGTAGGCACAATCTCTCCCATTCTACTGCGACCAGATCCCTCAAGATCTTGTACACCTCTATCAAATCACCAATCAACCTTCTCTTTTTCACAGAAAAAGAGACCCACTCCCTCAACCTTTCTATTTAACTGCAGATTCCCATTCCTAAGATCATGCTTGTGAATCTTCTCTGCTCCTTCCTCAACTGTGGCACCCAGAGCTGGACTTAATAATTCAGTTGAAGCTGAACCAGCGTTCTATACAAAGTCTAACATATTTGCTTTTCTAATCCATGCCTCATTGATAAAATTCAGGATTCCACAGGTCTAATTAACAGCACTTTCAACCTATCCTGCTACCTTCAATGATTCATGCAAATGTTTACCCAGGGCCCATTGCTCTCAAACCACTCTGAAATGTTATCCTCTTATTTCCTCTTCAGTTTCTTCCCTCCAGAATGAAACATTTCACACGCCTCTTGGTATTCAATCTCATTTGCCTACTCCAATAACCTTATAGATGTTCTTTTTGAAATTCTACATTATCCTCCTCTCAAAACTGTCAAGTTTTGAATTCCACACTCCCAAGTCTGGTTCTCCTACTCTGAAACAAATAAGCTGTTGAGATATACACGTTTCTTTCTCACTTTGAAGTCATTCTCTGCATTTCTTTTATACTTTGACCAATCAACTTTGGGTAGTTATATGCTCTCTCTTTAAGTTTGGTGCTTTCCCTAGCTTATTGGGCTAACCACAGACACTGAGTCCTCCCTTTAGAAATTTTTTTTATGGTACAAAAATGCTTATTCCGAATATTCTGAGACATTGCCTTAAGATCTGCCAGTGTCTTTACTGATCCATCCTCTAGCCTAGCATGTCAAGTTCACCACAGCTTTCATGGCCACGTAGTTATCCTTATTTAGGATTAAAATACTAGTCTTAGACCCAGTCTTCTCTCTTTCAAACTGGATGTAATATTCAATCATATTGTTTTTGCTTCCTATAGGTGCCTTTAGTCAGAGGTCATTAATTGATCCTGTCACATTACACAATAGTAAGTTTAATATAACCTGCTCTCTAATCAATTCCAGAATGTGCAGCTGTAAGAAACTAACTCAAAAACATTCTTGGAATTCTTCATCTAGGCTACAGTTGTCAATCTGATTTTTATAGTCTATATGTAAATTAACATTATCCATGATTATTGCTGTCCCTTTATCACAGGCACCCAATATTTCTTCTTTTATACTTTGTCCCACATTATGGTTATTGTTAGGGAGCCTGTCAACCACTCTCAATAGTGAATTCTTTTCATTACTCATTATCCCTATCCAATCTCCTGAAACAATTTCACCTCCAACTTTTGTGCAAATGTTATTCTTGATTAACAATGCAGCCCCTCCCCACTTCACCGAGCTTCCTATTTTTCTTGAATGTCATGATGCGGGAGGTGCTGATGTGGGACTGGGGTGGACAAAGTCAGAAGTCCCACAACACCAGGTTATAGTCCCTCAGGTTTATTTGATATCACAAGCTTTCGAAGCGCTGCCCCTTTGTTGTACTATAACCTGGTGTCATGTGACTTCTGAATTTCTTGAATGTCATATACAATGTCAATAGTCAGGACTAGTTCTTGTCATCCTGAAGCCACATTTCTGTGATGTCTTTCAGATTACATTTCTTTACTTCAATGGGCACTATCCTTTGTTATTATTTACATATTATTTATATTATATGTTTTATAAACATTATGTTATAAATGTAACACGCATCCCGATAAAGAGCCTTAAATTTTGTCTTTTTGTTATCTAGTCTTGATTGTTGATACATTCCTAGGTTTTGTTTCTCTCTGCCCTTCCCACTATTCTCTGATCCTCATTTCCCATATTACTATTTTCCCATTAAACCGCTGACCATCCAACTTCCTCTCCTGATCTCATGTCAGCCAACACTTTTCAGGTGTTTGGCCGTTCCCTTTAAATATGCTGTCATCATCCCTTTCCTCAAAATAAAACCCCTCACTTGCCACTATTATTGTCAAATATCACCCCATCACCAACCTTCCTTTCCTTTCAAAAATCCTTGCATGTGTTGTTTCCTCCCAAACCCATTCCCATCTTTCTCCCCAGTAGTTTCAATCCTTTCGATCAGGTTTTCATCCCCACCACAGTATCGAACTGTTTTTTTTCACAGTCACACAAGCTACATGACTGAGAAAGGCAAAGTTATGGACATGTCACAGTAAATCAATCTGTGCTAAAACCAATCTGTTGTTCTGTGGCTCATTACCTAAGAAGCCTGTACTGACTGAAATGAGGATAGCCAGATGGACATCATAGAACACGAGTTCCCTGATTGGGGCTACTAATTTGGTCCAATCAGGGAGCCCTGGCTGACAGATATAAACATGAGTAATAAGGGCCCTCTTGTGGTGCAGTGGTAGTGTCTCTACCCCTGGATTGAGAGACCTGGGTTTAAGTCCCACCTGCTCCAGAGTGTGTAATCGTATCTCTGAACAGGTTGATTATTTAAAACAGGTTAATTTAAAAAAAAAGTGATAAGCATTACTGCTATACAGTGGTAGTGGGGCCTGGGGGATTGAAAAAAAACAGGAAAATATAAATAGGGGATTTAGAATCTCCTCAGTTCAAGGAGATATGAACAGGGGGATTTAGAAACTCCTCAGATAAAGAAAAAAAATATATAAATAGGAGTGTCAGAGGTTCTGTTCACTCTGACAGCTAGCTCCGAGGAAGCCAGATCAGTGTCAGGTACTAAGCATGTGTAAGTAAAGAATGACTTAGAGACGGGATGCTGACCTTAGTGGAGTTATTTCAAGATCCACAACATTTTACTGCCTTATATTTTTCAGGTGTCTGAGCTTGACCAAGAAGTCAGTACCATTGGTCAAACCTATGTTAGAAAAGATTGTCCTGGTCAGTGCTACAATGGCATGGAAAAGTTCCTTGATGTACAATCTCCAGATTCTGGTCTTACCTGCAACATGTGGGATACATCAAATAATGAGCAGCGCTGGCGGGTATGCAAGTGAGAGCTGATGTGACTGTCCTTGTACTGTACAGGCATACTCCACCCTGCAAACTCCACCATCCGAGCTCCATTATTCCGATGGAATTCATTTAGCGCCGTCTTCTTGAGAGATTCCTGATTAGAAAACACAATAGATTCCCTCAAGTAAACTCAAAAACATATTGGTGTTCTTCAGCTGAACCTAAGTTGCACTTATTTTAGTGCAGTAAGAATGTTTACATTAATGATATGACGATGTATAGCAGTCATATGCAATTGAGACTCAAGGGTCTGTATTACGTACAATAATATGTAATTGAAAGATTGAATCAAACTCTTGAGAGTCGATAATAGTCTCTTTTAGATAAGGCAAAGACAGAGATGCAGCAAACTCAAAATGTGGACTGTATAGTCTAAGTTAGCAGTCTCTACAATGCAGGGCCAAATCCTGACACGCAAACCTCATAACAGACAGAGTCCATGAGGACACTACAACTTTGGGATATATATCATAGAATCCATACAGTGCAGAAGCAGGTCATTCAACCCATCGAGCCCACACCGAACCTCCGAAGAGCATCCCACCCAGACCTACCACCCCTACTGTATCCCTGTAGCCCTGCATTTCCCATGGCTAATCCACCTAGCCTGCACATCTTTGGACTGAGGGGGGAAACCGGAGCACCTGGGAGAAACCCATGCAGACCTGGGGAGAACCCGGGTCCCTGGCAATGTGAGGCAGCAGTGCTAACCACTGAGCCACCGTGCCACCCAATCGAAGGAGGTAGATCAATCCATGGTGTCAGGTTAAACCACTTATTCCAAAGACTGATTCCAATTATATGGCACAAGACTCCCTAGCTGGACTGGTCTTCCTCTCTTCTCCTTACCTATTCCAAAAGGGGACTACTGCAGTCCATTTTTTAATAACTTTGGGATAGGGGAGACAAAAGTAAACTTAATAATATTCTTGTCCCTCACAACATCTTCAACCCAGCATGTTACCACCCATTATAATGTTATCCTTGGCTCAACAAAGTAAAACTCTAAGGGGTAATACACTTGGCAAATGTTATCAAACTGAAATGTTGACTTTGTTTCTGTCTCCACACATGGTGCCTGATCTGATGAATATTTCCAGCCTTTTGCTTTTATGCCTCATGTCAATAGCAGGAAAGGTACAAGAAACCAATATTAGGGGCAAAATAAATATTCAGTGAAAAAAACATTAAAAACATAAAGCGCTGGAGAAGCTCAGTGGGTCCGACAGACGGCAGCGAGAAACAGTTAACATTTTGAGTCCGATATAACTCTTCTTTGCAACTCAGGGAGATAAGAAGAAATATTTCACTTAGGGTTGTCAGGATTTTGAATAGTTGATAGGGATAGGAAAGGAGATGAAGATACACTTGGAAGACAAGGAACGTTCAAGGTTATGGAAGTAAGCAAGGACATGGGACAGCACACCCTGCAATGGGCTGAATGGTCCACTAACATGCTGCAAGTTTTTATGATCTGGTGAGTTCACTGCAGTTTGTGGGGTCTGGCTGTGTTCAAATGGTCTAAATTACAACAGACAATAATTCTAAAGGCTGATGAAGGGTCTAGGCCCGAAACGTCAGCCTTCCTGCTCCTATGATGCTGCTTGGCCTGCTGTGTTCATCCAGCTCCACACCTTGTTATCCCATAATTCTAAAGGCGACTGTTTTGGGATATTCTGAGGCCATGAAAGCGGATGTTAATGCAAGCACATCATTTCTAAATGTCATTGGTATAACATCCACATTTTCCTTATGCCTCAAACGTGTTTCACCTAGGTTAAGGATGTAGGAGAGCAAGTTGCTGCTCCAGAAGCCACTTTTTCCGCACATCAAGAGGCCTAGTGCTTCAGTGTGGTCAAAGAGATGAACTATTCTCCTCACCGGTTATTATGGGGATAAGGTGAAGCAGAGGAGCAGCAGCATCTCTGTCTTTGCCTTATCTGACTCTCAAGAGTTTGATTCAATCTTTTAGTTACATATTATTGTACATAATACAGACCCTTGAGTCTCAATTGCATGTGTCTGCTATACATCGTCATATCATTAATGACATGAACCATTGCTTTCATTCAACATACATGACTGTAGTGTGTCCCTGTCCCTGTCCCTCCGTTAACCAGAAAACAAGGTGTGATCACCAAGACTTGGCAAGGGTACAGAGGAGATATACTGGAAAGGTGTCAGGGATGAGGGACTTCAGATAAATGGAGAGACAGCAGGAGTTGGGTTGTTCTCCTTAAAGCAGAGAAGCTTAAGCAGAGATTTGGGTGTTTAAAACCACAAACAGCAAATGAAAAACTGGTTCCAGTGGGAGAGAAATTTAAGATGATTGGCAGAACAGCCACTGGCAAGATGATCAGATACTTTTACGCAATGAGGTTATGGTGATATGGAAATTTCTGCTTGAAGAGCTGGTGGAAGCAAGTTCAATAGGAGCTTTCACAATGGCATTGGATAAATACACAAGGGGGACACATTCACAGGGCTGTGAGAAAAGAGCAGCACAGATGTATTAACCGAATAGTTCTTTCATAGAGTCAACATAGGTGGGATGTGCCAAACGGCCTCACTTTGCGATGTGCAGTTCTATGATTAAGAACATTAGAATGAAAGTTGGGTAGGTTGTGGAGCAAGCTTGCTCCATAAGTTGAGAAAATCATGGATAATCTAGCTGTGGCCTCACCTGCAATTCCCTGCCTGCCTCCCATTAACCCAGAATTCCCCTGTAGATCAAATGTCTGAATACATTCAAGGCTGAGTTGGACCATGATCCAGCCTCCATTGCTCACTTGGAAAGAATTCCAAAGACAAACAACTCTGAGGGTAAAAATTCCACAACTCCACCTAAAATGGTAGACCTCAGCAATGCCCATTGTTCTTGAGTTACCCTCAAGGGAATTCACCATTTTAGTATCTATTCAGTCAGGCCCTCTCAGAATTTTATATGTTTCAATTAGACTATCTCTCTTTCTCTCAAGCACTGTGGAGTATAGGACCAAACTGCTCAGCTTTCCCTCATTAGACAAAGCCCACATCCCAGGAATCAGCCTAGTGATCTTTTCGGAACTGTGTCCAATGCAGGTACATTCCTCCTTAAAGGAGACCAAAACTGGAAGCAGTAGTCCAGATATGGTCTCACCAACATGCTGGGCAATTCCAACAAGACAACCTCACTTTCATACAGCAACATTACTTACAGCACTATTCCTTCCTAGTAGTCAAATTAGAATGGGATTACTTTCAGATCTCCCTAATGGTCAGCTGGACAACTTCCTCTTTCAGACTGTGGTTGGGCAAGTGACGAACCTGCTCTGAGATCTAGTTTTAAGGTGGCCTGCATTTTTAAAGCAATATTGGCGCAAGAACTGCATTTATAAGTATTTTTAATCAACCTGTTCAGACAGGTAATGACACACCTCCTGAGCTGATGGGACTTCAAACTGCACCTTCTAGTCCAGAGGTAGGGAAATTTAACACAAACTACACAATGAAGTGGTCTCAGGCTACACTGGTAGATGGAACTTAATCGTGATAAGTGCAAGATGATGCATTTTGGGAGGTCTAATTAGGGAAGGTCATACACAATGAATGGTCGGTCCCTAAGGAGTACTCAGGAACAAAGGGACCTTGGTGTACATGTCTATAGATCCCCAAAGGTGTCAGCGCAGGTAGACAGGATGGTGAAGAGATGCTTGCCTTCATTAGCCAGGGAGTAGAATATAGGAGCAAGGAAGTCTAGTTGAAACTTTATAAAACTTTGGTTTAGGTCACAAATGGAATACTGTGTGCAGTTCTGGTTGGCACACTATTGGAAGGATGTAATTACACTGTAGAGGGTGCAGAGGAAATTCACCACGATATTGCCTGAAATGAAAAGTCTCGGTTATAAGGAAAGACTGGAAAAGCCGGGTTTGTTTTCCTTGGAGCAGAAGAAGCTGAGGGGCATCTGATTGAGGTATGCAAAATTATGAGAGGTATAGACAAGTATATCACGAGAATCTCTTCATGCAGATGTATCTAAGAGCAAATGGCGCAAGTTTAAGGTGAGAAGTAAGTGGTTCAGAGGAAATATGAGAAAACTTATTTTCACCCAGAGGGTGGTAGAAAAATGGTAGGTGCTACCTGAAAGGGTGGTGGAGGCAGGTACTCTCACAACATTTAAGAAGCATCTGGATGAGCACTTAAAATTCTAGGGTATAGCAGACTATGTGAGGGTAAATGGGACGAGTGTAGTTTGGGGTTTATTGGTCAGCATAGACACGGTGGGCCAAAGGGCCTGTTTCTATGTTGTATGACTCTATAGCTAAAATTTAGAGTTTGGGAATTTTTTTTAACCTTCTAGGACAGGGAGTAATAGCAGAGGAGAGAGACGTAGAAAGACTTACGGAGGGAATTCCAGAGCACAGAGTTTAGCCAGGAAAAGAAAACTGCAGATGCAAAAGAGATCAGAATTTATGGAATTCTGGATCAATTATTGTAAACAGCTAAATAAAAGGGAACTCCCTGCCTCACAGCACTGCGGGTGTACCTCCATTAAATTCACAGCAGCAGTTCAAGAAGGCAGCTCACCACCACCCTCTCAAGGGTAATTAAGGATGAGTGATGCATGCTGGCTCAGCCCACTCCCATGAATGAACTTTAAAAGTGGTATTGGTGGGTGAAGTTTGCAGGCTGGTTGGTGCTCATAAAATTCAACATGAGAAAACTATCATTTTCTTTTGAAATATACTTGACTCAGCTATTCCAAATTAGATGTAAGATTTGTGCTTGACAATGCTTTCTTGCCCATCAGCTTCATTTGCTAGGCAATATAGCAGACAAATATTGCATCACCCAAGGGTCTTGACTTCAGAGATTGCAGTAGAGGCAACACACCTATTCTGCAAACAAAATTGTCAAATACTGAGACAGTGTTAGTTTAGTTTAACATGCCTGATTAGATTGTTTAGTTGTGTAACATGGGTAATCAATCTAACCAGATTTCCCATTCATAGAATCACAGAATCCCGACAGTGTGGAAACAAGCCATTCGTCCCATCAAGTTCCACACCGACCCTCAGAAGAGCCTCCCACCCAGACCCACCCTCACCCCCCTAACCTATCCCGGTAACCCTGCATTTCCCATGGCCAATTCATCTAACCTGCACATCTTTGGACTGTGGGAGGAAACCAGAGCAGCTGGAGGAAACCCATACAGACATGGGGAGAATGTGGAAACTCCTATCTTAACAATACCCAATACTCAAGTTAGCACTGTTACCAGTTCAGCATCAAACATTTCAAGTTGCCTTAGGGACTTGAGGTACTTTTTACATTGCCAAAAAGACCCAGCTGATCAGTTTTTTTTAAAATTTATACTTAGGATGTGAAGATTGCTGGTGAGACCAGCATTTCACGTCCGTTCAACAGGTCTGACCCATTGGGAGGTTAAGACTCAGCTGCCTAAGGTGGACCTGGAACACACACTGATCAGCTAGCAGGCATCCTTCCCTGAAAGACCAGTGAGGACAATCTGATTACCGTTTTTAATGTTACCAGCCCTAACAGTTCCGGAATTTTTAAAAATGAAATTCAAATTCTAATAACATAACCACATCACCACTGTACCCAGTCAACCAATGTCCTAAATATAAATCACCACATGATCCAAGAGCATTATTAGGGAGGAAGTACTTTTTTTCCCCCATTATTCTTTCATAGGATGGGGGCAGCATTGGCAGTGCCAGTATTTGTTGTCCATCTAGATTATCTCAGAGTCATTAAGAATCAAAAGCATTGCTGCAGGATTCAACTCACATAGGCCCAAATGAGTAAAGACAGCAGATTTCCCTTTCTAAAGGACTTTATTAGGGTTTATATATCAATCCATGCTGTTTTATGGTCCATATTAATTCATTGAATTTGTAGGATTTGAACCCATGTCCTCAGAATATTAGTCTGGGTCTCTGGATGACTATGTTAGTGTCATTACCACTATGCTAACACCTCTCCTATATACCAACTGGCTGCTGAACGTCAGCAAAATAAATGGGGAGAATTTCAGACCTCCCTGTTCCAAAAGTGCAAGATAATAAGTTTTCAATCAAAGCTTAAATGACACAAGGATGGGAAAATGTGAAATCCCTCAACCACTTGAGTAGCTTCAGGATAGTGTCCATATCATTTTCAGAACGTCCTAGGTTTTGGGAGAGGGGTTAAAAAAAACAGGATCCCTTAATTCAGTGCAAAAACATTCAATGCTACAGTTCCCCAAACTTTTCCAAGCTGGGTTGGATGGAGGTCGAGGTTTGCAAAGCCCATGGAGCACAGGAAACACCAGACAAACAATGCAGACAATTGCTTGGCACGCTACCACACTGAAGCAGTAAATCCTGGAACAAACCAGTGAGTTTCTTCACTGCTTGGCCATCTAAGAAAAGAGGCCCATTTTTGCGGATACTGCTGGTTCTCGGATATCTGGATTGGAGGTATTCTACCTGAAAACTTGCTGGGAAGTTTGTTTTCTTTTAATACTCAATAGGTTCCAATGTAAGTAATTAGAGTACACACAGCTTTAAAGATTAATTTGATCATGCATTAAATGGACACGTTCAAAGTTGATCCACGGTCACCAGCAGCAATGGCTACACCTATAAAGGTCCAGAGAAACGGAAAGTGGAATGCTGAGATACTCAGGGTCTGGAATCTGACGAACAGAACCCAACATTGTGGTCAACTTCTCCCAAGATCGTTGCAGACATGTATACAATGTTTGTATGATGTTCAGCCTAAGTACATACAACACTGTTGTGATTTATGACTCAAGTTGGAAATGGCAAGATCATGATTCTGCTAGCTCTTTCATGGTTCAATAACTATATTATGGCAATCTCACACACCCAGTGTTTTATTTTTCTGATAGTTAGCAATATGATTTAGATATCAAACATTGCTGGATAGGAAGACTTGATCCTGATTAGTTTATAATGTAAATAATGCAAAGCTAGCATTTCACAAGGCAACAATCAATGACTTCGGCGGTCAAAAATCAAAGTTCAAACAGATTAACATTTATCTTCAAATATTGCTACAACTCAGATTTGTTAGTGAATGCACACTAAGAATATGCTTACCCTGCTCTCATTTCAGAGTACATGGGCTATCAGCCCTTCCAAATGATCCTATTGGCCACTTATTATACAGGAGGAATTATTATAGTAAAACCAAAAAAAAACTGTTCTAATGCAATCCATGCAATAAATTTTCAAGCATAAATCACTGGGCAGTTAACAGCACTAAAATAAAGTTAGTCTTCCTAATTTCAGACTTGTTCCTACACAGTGTGATTGAAGCTGGAATTAGTTAGCAGTGCAGTTCAACTAATCACAATCGTGATCTTATGCTACAAGAAAAAACAGACGCAGTGATCTCAATGATGTTTTCAAATTTGAAAACATCTCAACAAACCAAACAAAACAAAAAAAATTAATTCTGTAGTTTCCCATTACCCCATCTGGAATATACATAATCATATAAAGCCGAGCTTATCCTCTAACCATATTTCAAGCACGAGCTGGACTCGGGGAATAAATGTCCATTCTTGGCGGATTTTAGAACACACTTATTCAAGAATTGGCAATAAAGCAATTCCTAAATTTCAGCATACCCATTGCCAGATACTGTCATAACCGGTCTCAACGTGAATCCCCCATCGGCAGGTACTGCGATAACCCACCCCGGTCTGAAT